TTTTTATCGGATAAGAGTGACAAACGAGCACACAGTCCACTTGATGGTAAGTGGTTGCTGCGGCCCATAGACATCTACATCTATCCTCTATTACAAATCAAAATGTAGATGCGTTGTCACCCGTGAGGACTAAGATGGAATGCCTCATTTCCAGTAAAAGGGGCCTCCGGCCACCTGCACTCACCAAGCAAAACGCAGAGGTAAACCTCTACTTCACGCTGGTTTTCTGTGAGGTACCCTCCCGGTTCGAGCCGGCCCATCCGTGCGACAGCAAAAGCTGCCGCGTGGCTTTACCACTGTTAAAATATGCTAAATGTAAGTCTAGAGTCTCTGTTATACTAGTTTCTCAACTTCACAAAGTCAGTAATTCATTCTTGGGGCAATGTCTCTCTCTATTACTAAGTTTAAATATTTTATTAAACAAAAACTATAATATAAAAAAGGTTATAATAATATAAATGAACACAGGTTGATTATAATCCTTGGGAATGAGGTAGTCGCTTCTAAGCTATTTCTAAAATAAATGTTGTATATAGTAATAAATAGTTAAAAGAACAGTTGTACAAACCTTTTTAATGTATAATTTACTTTGAAAAACAAAAAGTTCTTCCCAGGACTGAAATTTTTGTTTCCAAAAGTTAAAAATGAATTTCAATAAGAATTACATGTAATCTATATCGATTAAATATTATTCCATGCTATTCTATTCTATCCTGCCTACCGCTCTAGGTGCCGGGTTAGAGGGCATATAGGTACGTATAGATAAAATGTTGAGGTCTGTCAAAGCGACAATAATTTTAAAATTGATCCATCGTAATACCTCAGTTTACAGACTCTCTTTAAATGGCTACCGGATTTTTTTTATTTTGAAAAGTTTAGTTATCGGAAAGATGATTTTTTTATAGAATAATTGTTACAGACGAGCACACACTCCACTTCATGGTAAGTGGATGCTGTGGCCCATAGACATCTACATCTATCCTCGATAATGAATCAAAATGCAGATGCGTTATCACCCGTGAGGACTAATACGGAATGCCTCTTTTCCAGTAAAAAGGGTCTCCGGTTTTCTACACTCACCATACGAAACACAGCAGTGTTAAGCTGCTATTTTATACTGGTATTCTGTGAGAGCGTTGTTCTTCGCCGGTCGAGCCGACCCATTCGTGCTACAACTATACTACTAATTTAGCTGCAGCATGGCTCTACCACGTATAAACAACGATATATTGAAATTGGGCCAGATTAAGAGTACCCTTAACCAACGGATATGTATGCTTAGGTACATGGATGTAAAAGGGGCGAGGCAGATGTGTCAGGATCGTCCGTAAGTCCGAAGTCCGTAGTCTCTGCCTACCTCTCTGGATAACAGGTGTGAGAGTTTATGTGTGCTTATTTTATGTATAAATTAAATACCATCTATATTTATATCTATAAATTTAACACAGCTAATGCAGCGGTTGCGTGCCTCCATCCATTTTATCAATCTACATACGTCGATATGCGTATCACATAATTTTTACGTCGCCGGTTTATTTTAACAAACGGTCGTGGAGAAAGATCAATACCGTGATACCGGATTTATTTCCCAACGTAGAATATTACCAGAACGTAGCTTGATTTCGCCCTTTTTTAAATCAGTAAATAAAACTTACTTTTTTTCGGATTTTATCGCGAATATTAAGTTATTTTATATTTTTGACGTTTCGAGTATACTTTACCGCACCCATTTTCACGAGAGGAAACAGAGGCGTTCGACGTCCCAATGTCATAGTTTACCATGGCTATATTATTAATTCATAACAGCCCTTCAAAGTTCCGCTGCTGAACATAGGCTTCCCCCAAGGAATGCCAAAAAGCACGGTCCTGAGCCACTTTCATCACATTTACGTGGTAGAGCCATGCTGCAGCTATATTATGGTTGTAGCACGAATGGGTTGGCTCGACCGAGGAAGGACCACGCTCTCACAGAATACCAGTGTAAAATAGCAGCTTAACGCTGCTGAGTTTCATATGGTGAGTGTAGAGAACCGGAGACCCTTTTTACTGGAAACGAGGCATTCCATCTTAGTCCTCACGGGTGACAACGCATCTGCATTTTGATTCGTAATCGAAGATAGATGTAGATGTCTATGGGCCACAGCAACCACTTACCATCAGGTGGACTGTGTGCTCGTTTGTCACCCTTATCCTATAAAAAAAAATCCATCGACTTCATGCATCTCTTACCAGGTCGTCACTCCATTTAGTGGGGGGACGCCCTACACTTAGCCTACCGGTACGAGGCTGCCACTCCAGAACATTTTTCCCCATCGGCCTTTCTTCCCCATCGATTATCAGTTCTTCGAGCTATATGGCCGGCCCATTGCCACTTCAGCTTACTAATCCGTAAACATTAGGTTCATTTAAATGTGTTCGCCTAAACATAAGAAATCATAAAATTGCAGTAACAAGCTAGTTACAGTGCACGTGGTGGTAAGTGCCTACTGCAGTGGACACCTGCCACCAAAGTAAAGCAAAAATAACTACAGATTTGTCCCCTGAATCTCTATGCTCTTCCGACTGGAACACAACAGTACAAGCACTGCATATAAAGTTGGAGTTCTGCTCCCCAAACAGGCACCTTAGAGTCAGCCTGCAGTGCCTTATGGTCGCATTAAATTAAATAAAGTCCACCAGGTCGAATTCCGGTCACGGCGGCCAATCTCAACGGAGACTAGCCATCTGCCCAGGGCAGTATTATAGTGCCCAAGTACATACCCAAGCACAGGTGCTCTCTCTCTATTCGCTCACGTACATATTCCGGTGCAACATAACCCGACGCGACCGGAGAGAGATCAGACGCAGAACCAACGGCTTTACACCTGTGAAACACCGCCAACCTCCTGACTCCAGGGTGCTACTGAGAATTTTTGTTAACAGAATAACCCAAAAACTGTTTATAGGCCAATCCTGAATTCGAACCCGGGATCTCATGATCGCATTTACGCCGAATAGACCAACGAGGCAGTAAAGGTCGTGATAAAGGAATCATGGTCGCATTATTAATAATTGCGCTCCCCTGGGGAAGGATTATATTCGCACAATCTAGTTGTGTGTTTCGCGTCGGTTCTTCCACAAGATAGGCAATAGAGGTTTGTTGCAGCGATAGCGTAGCTATCTCGACATTCAAAAAGTGTATTTCTAAAGGCCCAAAGTAATATATAAAAATGAACATTTGTTTGTTCGTATTTTATGCGCTGCCATACCGTTCATCAGATTGCGCTAAAACTTTGTCAACTTATTGCTTGCACTTTGCGCGAAGCAGGGCTCGGAAACGTTATTAAAAATAACGTTTTTAAAACGTTTAGGACGGTTCCTTGCATAACATTTTGTTCGGAACAAAAACGAAATGAAAACCTAATGTGAAAACGTTTATTCCGCAAGAAGCTAAATGAATGGCGCGAGCCACAGCAAGTTTAAATCTGTAATGGCTCCAGTACACGTTGGCCGAGCGCGCTTTTCGTGGTGCCGTTCATACGTTGGCGTGTTTCATTCTGCGTTGGTAGCTAGATGATGATGGACGTTAGGGCAATCGCGGCCGCTGTCATATACTTATACAGCGCTTCACTCTTCTCAGAGTGAATGAAAAAATAAACTACACATACAACAATAATCCCAGTTTGTCATTTTTAGAGTTCCGACCTCAAAAGGAAAAAAGAAACCTTTATAGGATCTACAAGCTGACCCGTGCCCGCTTCGCTGGGGGGTTTTTCAAAATAAAAGGGAGCCCAAAAGAAGCCCCTAAGGTACATTATCCCTGAACAACATAAACGCAGAGATAATTTATAATAATATTTATCATTAGGTAGGTACTCTGAAATCGCAACTAAACATGTATTATTTAATGCAGTTAGGCAAGTTACTTTATACTCTGGTTTTATTTTTATGTTGCTCATGTTTGGGGTTCCATATAACTGATTCATTGTGAGAATCAATCAATGAACAATGAATCAATATTTCACTCCATAATTGTTAAAACGCCAAATACACACAAAACAGCACAATACACGTTGGCCGAACGCACTCGGCGAGCGCGCTCGGCCAACGTGTACTGGAGCCATAAGGCGAAAACGTTTCGAAAAATATACCGTTATCCGAGCCCTGGCGCGAAGGTCATAGGCATAGTACAATTAACTTACGCCGGGTTTCCACGCTTGCCAAGTCTCGACAAGCATCCACAAGCACAAGTGTATAAAGCGGGCGTTTGGCTTGGCAGGCGTGAGCTTGTGGACGCTTGTCCCCGATCCGGGCTAGTGTCGGTTTTTGGACACAGATCAAGATTTGTAGACGCTTGGGGCTTGAAGACGTTTGCCGAGGCTTGGCAAGCGTGGAAAGGCACCATTACAGTAGGTGGCGTATCGTTCCGATAAATTTATTTGAAAGTTATATAAGTATCATTCAGTTTCAAATAATGTATTATCATTCCTAATTTAACAATATAAATCTTCCAAATTTAAAACGATGTTTCAACAATTATTTTTTCTGCGGCTGCAACGCGCCGATAACCAACTAGCTTTGAATAAAAAAAAATTTACTTTGACAGAATACCAGCGTAAAAAAGCAACATAATGCTGCAGTTTTATACTTACAGTGAGTGAGGAGAATCGAGCAACGTTTTGATTGGTAATTTAGACGTTCAGGGGTGACAGCTGGATTTAATTATTTAGGTGTTATTTGTATAAGATAAGATGATTATTTGTTTATTTGACTGTAAAATCTATGACGTCATTACGGTATATTATCATACAATTTCTCTCAGATCAATTACACACTTATAATTTCTACAAAACTGTTAGGTTTGACACTTCGAAATTTAAACTTTAATATTAAGTTAAGATATTATGGTGTTTAAGATATTAAAACCCGGACTACAGAAGCTATTAAATTATGTGGAAATTATTTTGATCTTTATAGTTCACAATTTAGTAGTTAATATAATTTATAATATGTTGTTCCAGGGATGTCCCGAGCTACTGTCAAAACAGATAATCTGGCAGACTCTGCAGGGCGTGGCGTACTGCCATAGGCACAACTGTATCCACCGCGACGTCAAACCTGAGAACATTCTGCTCACCGCCGACGGTGTCGTCAAGCTCTGCGACTTCGGCTTTGCCAGGATAATCAGTACGTATTACTGAAAGTTGCAAGAGGAGTTTGTCACGTGATAGAGCCAGTCTGCTGCTAAATAATGTTTGTAGCACGAATGGGTCGGCTCAACCGGGGAAGAACCACGCTCTCACAGAATACCAGTATTAGATAGCAGCACAAATCTGCTGTGTTACCTATGATGAGTGTAGATAACCGGAGACCCTTTTTACTGGAAACGAGGCATTCCATCTTAGTCCTCAGCGGACAACGCATCTACTTCCCGGTAGACTGTGTGCTCGTTTGTGACCCTTATTCTATAAAAAAAAAAGTCAAGTGTAAAGGTACCTACATCAATTATTTCCTTCGTCTTCTCTTCAGTTAGTAAAGCACACGCTCATTCCACAGCTGGACATGGACCTTTCGCCATAGACTCCAGCATAGGGGAGGGGGGGGGGGGGGCTTATTTTGGAAGGCGGGCTACCAAAGTTTTTCTGAAGTTTACCGAAGTTTTGTTATTATTTTGAGCAGTTTTCAGGAAGATGCTGCTACGTATACCCGGTTTCATTCCTCTGTCACATTTTACGATCTACGGGAAATAGGGTAGTGCATTCTCTTACTCTACACGGAAAAGTTATACAATTCTATTATTTACGGTTCATATAGTAAACTTGATAACGTGAATTATTTTTAATGATTTCTAATATTTACGTGAACACTACACTAGACATTGAATAAAACTATTTATACGGATTTTATCGCGTTTAATTGTACTTATTTTTGATTCCCGACGTTTCGGGTGCTTTCCAGCACCATGGCCACACAGTCACGGGGGACGCAGGTGATTCACGTTCCGATGTTAAAATTAACCCGGAGTACCTTCAGCTTTTTGATTATTATTTTTGGTCTGATATACGCAGAGCTATGTCCGTACCGGAAGTAGCCCTTACGTAATATATATTATGTAATTAAAGGCAAGCTTGGGACACGTACAAATACGTATGTGCAAAACGTAATACTCGGAACCACTTTGTGTTTTTGCACAAATATTATCTTACCGGGATTTGAACTAAGACTTGCATTTTAATTGTCAGGTAGGTCGATCATTGAGTCAGCCACCGTCACTTGTTATGTTAAATAAAAAAGTAAAGTTATAGCCTATATAATTCCCACTCCTGAGTACATGCCTCCTCTCATTACTGAAAGGGTATTTAGGGCAAGGAAGTGTCCACCGCGCTGCCCCAATACGTATTGGCTGATTTCACATGTATTCAAAATTTTCACCATGTTTTCCTTCGCCACCGAGATCGTGTTAAAGAGTCGTGGTAGCTCAAGAGCTTATCGCTCGCTGTAAATTTCACAGAACGCGAGCAACCCGGGTTCGATCCACGCCAGCACCAATGAAATTATTAATCGCAATTTTAAAAGATCATTTACAACTTGTTATTGTGATAAGTTTTAAGTAAACCTAGAGGGTTATTCAATTACAGTATTTGCGTTATAGCATGGTGCGGGGTGACAGGTTGACAGGTCAATAGAACGTAACTTGCGTGCGTTTGCAATATTGGAACATTTTTAAATATGACAAATTAACACTGAATTTGTTTTCATTATTTTTTTCTATTCTGTTATGACTATTAAATTAACATTTACTTAATAAATGTCACGTAATGTAGTTTTTTTTTACTACGTAAAATTTTTATTACTACTACGTAAAAGTTTCATTTCAAGTGCTAATTTTTGGAGATGTGCCTCATATTCGGACGTAAAAACTGTCAAACGAATATAATCGCTAAAAACAAGTAAGATACTTAATTCTATTTCATATATGTGCTGCAAAACCGACATATTCATGTATACTAAAGTAACTTACGATTCATGAACGGTAATAAACAAAACAAATAAATAGAGAAAGTTGTTAAATTAAGAATAAGGAATTAAATAATTTTAAATTTATTCAGTCTTTTTGTGGATCTCCGTTTGACTCGACTTATCAATGTTTTTGTTCGTTTTAGAATTTTAAATAAACAAAATCAACAAATAGCAAAAATCAACGTTAGAAATAACAACAATAAACTCAATAATCGAAAGAAAAAGTAATATAAACTCAACTGGAAATTACACAACGGCCGATAGGTACTTCATTAGTGTTGCCAGGTGTCCCGATTTGCGCGGGACGTCCCAATTTTCCGGGGGATGGTAACAGATCCCGATTCACCCTTGATCAGGACGCCAAATGTCCCGATTTTTTACGTCCCGATAATTATGACAGCAAAATGAATACATCTGTAAGCTGGTACTGTGGCTGGTACTACTTTTAAATATTTTAGCTTTGACATTTCATATTTTCTCACCAAACTCGTACTAAATAGTTAACATCAAAGTTTTAAATTTTACGTGTATTAAGTTGGCGAGATACAGATATTATTCATGCTGTTTCGTTTTTTCTCTCACCGAGTGATACCGCCCGCCCAGCCATACGCTATGCGTCGACGTCGCGTCGTCAATGCGACCATCATTTATTATTATTATAGTATCATAATTATTACAGTACCTAACTTACATATTGCGGTTTAGATTTAATGACATTTAGTAAAATGCAAAGGTTTTGCGGATCAATTTTCCACTTTTGTTTTCAAATAAATTAAATGTCATTATGTCTGCAATTCAAGAATTTTATCTGTGTGTTTGAGGTTATAATTTGATTATGAATGAATGTTTTTTTTATTGTATGATGCCGTTTTAAAGGTTTTTTGAAGTGCATGCGTTCCGAGTTCATAAAATTTATTACTTTTTCAGAATAACACTAAAATGAGTAATTTAGAAAAGAGTCTGAAACGATAAGTAATCGTTCAACAAGTTCTGATTTGTCAATAAAGAAAAACGCCAAAAAATAGTTATAAAGCACATTACGCATTTTTAAATAAATATTAGAAATCATCACATTGCGCATTGTGTCAAAAAGACTTGAATATAACTCATGGCGGCCAAAATAGCTGAAAAACTTGTTATTTTATTTTTTATTTTATTAGATTTGTAAACCAAATTCTCGATTATTTTTACTTTCCGTCCCGATATTTGACCTACTGGACCTGGTAACACCTATAGACGTTTATAGCGAAAGGCGCTAGCACTCGTATCTTGGAAACATAGGTTAATGATAAGTAATCGCGCGCTCTGACTAGATACCGCCGGCGCTCAAGTAAAATGCGGCAACAAATACTAAGTCGAAATCGGCGTACCCGAGCCAGTCGCGTTGCAGGCAACCATAGACTAATATATAATACTGGAGATGAGGCGAACGTACCGAATGTTTTATTAAATTTTGATCATAATCCGAAGTAAAATACCAGTTTACGTATTGAAACTGTGTAAAAATAATACTACAAGAAATAAGAAAGACACTGGAATCACATACTATCATTAAGTATCATACAATTTCGAAATTTTAACATAAAATAACACGAGCCATAAACAAGTCACAAAATATCAATGACGTTATTCAGTGTTGCCGCGAATGCAAAAATAAAGTTCCCTGTGGCTGAGATTTTTATATGTGAATTTGTTGTTACTATATTTTATAATATAATGTATTTAAGTTATTATAATATAACCTAATTCTATATTATTTAATGTTTATTTCTGTAGTATTGCTCAAATGACATAATTGCCGTTTATTAGGGCTCCGTACCAAAAGAGTATCAACGGGACCCAAGTCTCCACTATCGTTCCGTCTGTCTGTCAGTAAGCTGTATCTTATGGACCTTAATATGTAGAATTTTCACAGAATGTGTATTTATATTGCTGCTATAACAACATAAAATAAAAAAGAAAACAAGTAAAATATTAAAGGACCCAAAAAATCACGTTTCTTGTATGAAGACCATACAAGAAACGTGACATACAAAAAACGTGTTTTGTGTACAGACTAAAGCGAAACCTGGATTAACACGCAATAAAATGATGCTGTGTGTATAGTGGAATTGAAAGTTTATCATGAGATTTACCGCCGGGTAAAATCAACGATTCGGATCTCTACTATCAATAATTAATGAGACAAGCAAGAAATAGCAAAAACGGCTGGCATTGATAATCAGAAAAGAAGTGGTCTTTCATCATGATAACGCCAGATGACAAGATTAGTTATCTGTTTGAGACGTTCAATACACACTAACATTCCCAAAAATCCAGCATTTGCTTGAGTAGGGGAGACATAGGTGGGTTGACACAAAAATTACATTACAATGTATAACTCAGCACAATATAATTCTATAGACGTGAAACTTATATGATTAGATATCTAGATCTGTACACTATTTAATTCATGCACAAAGCACATATTAAATACGCCTTTTTAAAAGATATTTCTGAAAACCCACATCAACTCCCCGTGTTTCAACTCTCCTAGTACCGAGGTAAGTTGAAACACTTTCAGAGGTGAGTTGTAACGTAAATTTGAATGATTAGTTTATAGTTAAACAAAAAGTTTTTTTTAAGAAAAATATTTTATTTAAGAAAATAACAAAGTAATTTAGGTATTTATAAGAGATCAATCGATAAAAAGCACTAATAGCTAAGTAATACTAAGGCACATCTTATAACAGTCTTTGTTTTCTACCCATTTTTCATTTGTTGCTGTGACCAAAGTTCTTCTATGCGCAGAAGTCATCGCACTAACTTGTTTTTCGCCTTTTCGAGCAATAACTCTATTTGGCTTCTGGACTGTAGGTACACCATTTAGTAGTTATGTCTCGTCTGTAGTTTCGTCAACATTCCAAATGTCGGCAGCATTAAATTTATGCCTATCTAATAGACGTTTGTATTTTTCAAAAAATAATTCTACGTTAGCTTTATTAAAACTTGTTGCTCCTGCCAGGCTGGTAGCTTGAGGAGTCCGTAGAGACAGGGTTGGATGCCGTTCTATAAATAGTTTTAACCACACTTCTCCAGCCATTTCATCTCTGTTCCAGTAAGGAGGGAACTTTTTATCGTATTGTCTGGCAAGCAGAAATGCAAGACGCCTTGCTTCCTTAGTGCTA